AGTGTGGGTGCCCACAGAGGTCAGAAGATGCCTGACTCCTGATCCCTCGGGGTTAGAGTTACAGGTGGTTGTGAGCCACACAATGTGGGTGCTAGGAACCCAACTTGAGTCCTCTGCAAGAGGAGTATGGACTCTTAACTGCTTAGCCATCTCCCCAACCTCATAAAGCCAGGCATGATGGCATGTGCCTGTAACCCCAGCTCTGGAGGAGTAGAGACAGATGGATCCCAGGGGCTTGCTGACTCACCAGACTATTCATATTTGTGAGCTCTGAATTCAGTCAGGGAAAAGACCTGTTTCAAAAAATTAAAAAGAAATAAAAAGAATTTTCCAGCCCCAAATGAAAACATATACAAGTAGAGAGGTCAGGTCTATATTTTAAAAGGACTCTGTCCAGGTCAGGAAGAGTATACCCCAAACAAACTTCAGGTGATGCATAAAATGGGGGTGGGATCAGACATCACTGGAGCCTTATTAATTAAAGATTCTCCTAGGAGAAAAAGATGTGTCACTAGCCTGAGTATCATTGAAAGTTACTTGCTAAAAATTAAAGAAACAAAAAACTTTTAAAAAAAGAAACAGAAGAGTATCAAACATATCTAAACTAAGCAAAGAAACAGAAACCTTTCTCTGACCCTACCCGTCCTGGTAGATACCCTATCTCTGCCCTTCCCTTCTCAGAGGGCTCCCTGAGCGGTGCTTGATCTTGCTTCTTCCCACTCTACCCTCTCAATCCAGCTCTTACCCAAACCCCCAACAGTCTTTACCCAACAAACACTTCTTACTGTGTTTTATTTTACATTATTGTCCTTGGCCTGTTTTGAGACCCATGGAAGTTGTGATGCCTCCTCGGCCACATCCTCTCCTTTCTCTGGCTGCTGCCTTGGCCTTGCCCAGGGTTTTAGTCCCTTTTCTTACCTCAAACATCACACTGCTCAGAGATTTTCCCATAGGCCCTGCCTTCCCACGTTTCCTTGGAGGGCACTGGCTAAATCATGTATGGGGTTCAGTGCAAACAGGAAGGTAGAGCTTCTTGCTCTAAATGATGAACTACAACTGGGTGACTTTTGAGTATTAAACCAAGCTCTGGGCCTTTCTGGACATGGAACCATGGGTGGCCTCTCACAAGGTGCATGTCTTGGTTACAGCCCCAACTTCTGCCAGGATGATCTGTGAGGGTTACTGCAGTACACAGAACAATCCCCACCAAATACATCCTTACACCTGACCGTGTGTGTGTGTGTGTGTGTGTGTGTGTGTGTGTGCGTGTTAATATACCCCACATGAGAGGAATTTACATGTGCACACTACCCCTGAACTTATGTGTGTTAGGTTCCTAAAATGGTGGCACAGCTCCCAACAACAGGTTCGAACTTAGCCCCGGGAAGTCCCTCTGCTTATTGGGACACCAACCAATCCTCAGCTAAACTGCCCAGCCTACGTCATGGAAAGTTACCCAACCACCTAACTGCCTATAAAAGATGTCTGGCTTCCCCTGCTTGCTGCTGTTTCTCTACTCCCCAAGAGGCAGCCCAGTGGTCTGTTTGCTCTCAAATGAACTGCTGCCCTGTCCCCTTGGAGTTGTCCTGGACGGTGGTCTTCACTGCTCTGTGTCCGTACAATGTGTATTCGTTTGATTTCTGCTGCTGCGATGAAACACGGAGCCAAAGCAACTTGGAAAGGAGAGGGTTTACCTGGCTTGCAGGTTACAGCCCACTATGGAGGGAAGCCAAGGCAGGAACTGAAGGCAGGAACTGAAGCAGAGACCGTGGAGGAACGCTGCTCACTGGCTTGCTCCCCTTGGCTTGCTCAGCTACATTTCCTATACAGCCCAAGCCCATCTGTCCAGGGATGGCATTGTCCACACTGAGCTATACCACCCCCATCCCCCTTTTAAAATTTTTTTCTGACAGGATGTCACTAAGTTCCCAAGTTGACCTTGAACTTTCTGTGTAACCCATTAGAATTTGAACTTCCTCTAGCTGCAGCATCCTGGATAGCTGGCCCAGCAGGCCCAGCTGGGAATGCATTTGTAAAGATGTTAACATCTACAATCCATGGGCTCTATGAAAAGAAGCTACCCTTGATAGATAACGTGGTAGAGCCTCATCCAATCCTGCCAAAGGGCTCAGAAACAAAACAGAACTCCTTATGAGAAGAAATCCCACCTCTACCATGTCTTGGAGCCAGCCTGCCCCGCATACTCTAGCCCTGCCAAACCCCACAATCCTGCAACTCATGTATTTAAAATAAATTTCTTTCTATGTTATATGTCTTAAAAATATTTTATTATTTTTATGTGTATGAGTGTATTGTCTGTATGTAGTAAGTGTACCCATGTCATGCAATGCCCTCAGAGGTCAGAAGAGAGAATCGAATTCCCCTGGAACTGGAGTTATGGATGGTTGATAACCACCATGTGGGTGTTGGGAGTTGAACCCAGGTCCTCTGCAAGAGCAGCCAGTCCTCTTGCTGAGCCATCTCTCCAGTTCCCTAATTTATATATCTTAACAAATATAAGTGTAAGAAGCATCACAATGTTCTTGAAATGCAAAAAGCATACACATCTAGAATAGTAACTCTGTAAAATCATAAAGAAGATGACTGGTTTCTAGGGGCTGGGGAGAGAGGGAATGGAAAGTGACTGCCTACTGGACTTTCCTTTGGGGTGGTGGTGGCACAATAATGTAAACATACCAAATGCCACTGAACTATACAGTTTAAAATTGGCTTTATGTGAATTTCATATGAAGACACATCTAATAATTTATGATGTAGGTATATTATTCATCTCAGTGACTGAGCTTGGGGTGAAGAGGCTTCCTTACTTCCCTCAAACTTTGCTTTCAGGTTGAAAGCAGTCTGTTCTAGCCCAATCCTATGTGGATCTCAGGGTGGGAACTTTCTGATATCTGTCCCTGCCTGGTTACTGTGGCCCTCATGACCTCTAAGCTCCCAGTGAGTTTCTTTTAAATTAACATGCAATAACGGGCTTCATTATGACACTTTCACACATGTTTACTATGTATTTTGCTCTTACCCCCATTATCCTCACTTATCCCCCCTCCCCCCTCCCCTGTTGGGCCCCTTACGCCTCCCACCAGGACCCCTTTCACAGCTTACATTTATATATGGCACTTCTCTTCCATCCCAAACCCCAGCCTCCCATCTGGGTCTCCCCGTCCCTCTCCACTGACCCAGCCTCCTCGCTGGGTCCCCCTCCCCACACCCTCAGGTGTACAAGCCTGTCATCACAGCTATCCATGACGCTGAGGGGGGACAAGAAATGAAAAACCTAAAAGACCTATAGAGCAAGTTCAAGGTCAGCCTGGGCAATGTAATGTGACCCTGTCTGAAAGTTTTAAGAAAAGGAAAATAAGGATGGGTGGAGGTGTGCAGAGATATAGCTCAGTGCTTGCTTAACATGTGGGGGTCAGGGGGGACTGGGTTCTACTACCACCAAATAAAACAAACAGTACATTGAGGGGCTGGGGAGCTGGATCAGAGGTTAAGAACACTGGCTGCTCTAGCAGAGGACCCGGGTTCAGTTCCCAGCACCCGCACGGTGGCTAACAACCATCTGTGACTCCAGTTCCAGGGGATCTGATGTTCCCTTCTGACCTCTGAGGGCATTGCATGACATGGGTGCACTTACACAGATGTAGGCAATACACTCACACACACAAAATAAAAGTAATAAATATTTTAAAAAACCAATGGATTGAAAATGGCAGATAGATGATGGATAGATGGACAGACAGACAGATATTAAATCTAGATTGGGCAACTGATAGAAAATATGTAGCATTTGTCTCTCTGAGTCTGACTTACTTTGTTTAACATGATAATCTCCAGTCCTATTAGTTTCCCAGTAAATGATGTGATTGTGTTTTCCTTTAAGGCAGCACAAAACTCCATGATTATCTATATCTATATCTATATCTATATATCTATATCTATATATCTATATCTATATCTATAGCTGTATGATGTTTCTTTTTTCATTCACTGATGGCATCTCGGCCAATTGTATAACCTGGCTATTGTGTAAACACAGGGGCTGTCAGGTGCACCTGCAGTAGTAGGCTGGCTTAGATCCTAGTGGCTTTCAAGTCGGCCTCTCCGAGCCAGCCAAAGTCCACTCTCACCTGCTTAGCTGTGTGCCCTGTGCTCCACTTGGTCTCTGCCTTCCTGTCATGTGTTCCCTCCTCCCCTGGGCTCTACAAGTCCCCACTGGCCCTCCAGTGCAGCTCAAGGGGCTTCCTCAGTCCCTCTGAAACTGGGTCCCCTCCAGCCCCAAAGCCCAGACCCAGCCTTCAGACCTAGCCTCAGCTCCTATTGGTCTCTCCTTCTCTCTCCACTAAACCAGCTTCCCATCTGGGTCTCCCCCTGCTTCACTATTGACTAACCACTCACCTGAACCTCAACTTCCCTCTGACTGGCCCAGCCTCCCATCTAAGCCTCCTTGTTTTTCTCCATTGATTCAATCCCCACTGGGGTAGCCCGATCCCATTCCATCGACTCAGTCTCCCACCTGGTGTCCCCCTCACCCTCAGAGTAAGCCAACTTTCTGGAGACTGCTTCCTGCCCCACACCTCAGTTACACACACACACACACACACACACACACACACGCCCACGCACTGGCTTTAGCGGAATGCTCCTAATACTCAAATCTGTTTTATCTTCACCACAGACACAGGTGTTTAAAGTGCTATAAGGGCCTTTCTTTGGAGGGTAGCTGCAGGCAGGAACATTTATCTGGGGGACCCTCCAGGGGCTCTCTCAGACCACCTCATCCTCCAGTGGGACTTGAGTTCTCTCCCTTCCCGCTTCCTCTCTTCCCCCTCTCTCCCTGTCTCCTCACTCATCCCTTTACACACACACACACACACACACACACACACACACACACACACAGCCCCCAACAGCTGCAATCTGGAAGAAATTACTCTTCCAAACAACCAGACTTCCCAGATTTCAGGAAATTCCAAGCTGGGCGGGGGAGGAGCCGGGCTGGGGGGCCTCGGTCCATCCCCCAAGCTCTGCCCCTGCTTCATGCACACCCAGTCCTGGCCTCCTCCTGCCCCCACAATCAGCCCAAAGGGGCCTCAGCTTTTCAACCCCGTCAAGGCTTTCTAGTCCTTTAAATCCTACAGGCAAACTTTTGGGGGATAAAGGAAGCTGGGAGGGGCCTATGGCTTAACCCTCTCATCCCAAGACAAGGAACAGATCAACTAGGCTTACTGGGCGGTGACTCTGCGCTCTGCTTGGATGTCTACCATGGCCCCCGAGAGGGGCTGACGAGTCTATCCCGGTGCAGGTAAAGAAGAGACCCCAGCCAGGGCGGGTCAGGAGTCACTTTGGACCTCTGGATCTGTGGGAGGAGGACTGGGGTCTGGACCCCTGGGTCTGAGGGAGGAGGGCTGGGGCCTGGATCTCTGGGTCTGAGGGAGGAGGGCTGGGGTCTGGACCCCTGGGTCTGGGGGATGAGGGCTGGGGCCTGGATCCCTGGGTCTGAGGGAGGAGGGCTGGGGTCTGGACCCCTGGGTCTGAGGGAGGAGGCCTGGGGTATGGACCCCTGGATCTGAGGGAGAAGGGCTGGGGTCTGGACCCCTGGGTCTGAGGGAGGAGGGCTAGAGTCTAGACCCCTGGGTGTAAGGGAGGAGAATGGGGTCTGGACTCCTGGGTCTGAGGGAGGAGGGTTAGAATCTGGACCCCTGGGTCTGAGAGAAGAGGGTTAGAATCTGGACCCCTGGGTCTGAGAGAAGAGGGTTAGAATCTGGACCCCTGGGTGTGAGGGAGAAGGCTGGGGTCTGAACTCCTGGGTCTGAGGGAGGAGAGTTAGAATCTGGACCCCTGGGTCTGAGGGAGGAGGCTGGGGTCTGGACCCCTAGGACTGAGGGAGGACAGAAGAAACCCATGAAAACAAGAGAACTAGGAGGTCCAGCTCCTGGGACCCAAGAGCACAGGCTAAGATTGAGGAGGAGGCACCCTGGATTCCCCTACAGGTTGGGCATGACGCTTTCTTTGCCAGGTGAGATCCCGCCCGAAGGAAGAAGGAAGGAGAGGGCCTGGGACTAGGCAGGAGGCCGAGGCCAGGCTGGGAGGGGCCGCAGCTTGAGCTCAGCTCAGTCAGGACCGCGAGGTAAGTGGCTGTGGTGGGCAAGGGTCTTCTAGGTTTCAACCAGGGGAAAGAGAGACAGACTGTAGGTGGGGGGAGAGCCCAGAGTCACTGATGTCCCTGATGCAGCCACGTAGCTTCAGGAAGTGCTCTGCCAGTCCTAAGAGCCCAAAGGGTCTCACAGCCCCGGGTGGGGGGGGGCCGGATCCCTTTGCCAGGTCTGGACCCCACCCACCTCCAGTCTGAGAACCCGTCCAGCCAGCTTTGGAACTGGTTGTTATTTCCGTCCTGGCAGGGCTGGGGCTGGAAGAGGACAGAGGTGAACCAGCTGTGCCCCCCACCCCTGCAGCTGGAGCTGTGACCCTGCCTAGGCAGGAAAGAGAGTGGAAGAGGCCAGAGTTGGTCTGCTTATCTGAGATTGTGGCGTCGGGGCAGGCCTGGGACCCCTTCGAGCGGCTGCCTCCCGCCTGCTTTACTTTGGTCCCTAACAACAGTCCCTCTGTACAAGCCTGGCGAATGACGAACTTTTTCCAAGAATGACCGCACTGCATTGAGTGCAACCAGCCCTGCAGCGGGCAGATTAGAGTTTACAGCTGTGTGCAAGAAACCCCTAGGCTGGAGGGAGGAGTGACTCGCCCAAGGTCTCAGAGCAAGGCAGGAGACAAAAGGGCATTCAATAGCTCTCTCTCTCTCTCTCATTCGTTTATGTGTAAGTGTGGGAGCCCAGAACAGAGTAGGAAATCCTGGGTATTCAATATGTATATATTTTTATTGAATTTTTGTGCATTTCACACAATACATCCTAATGATACTTATACCTCCTATCTGCACCCACCCAGAGCCCCCCAACAGATTTCATACATTCTGTCATAGATGTTAAGGCCTATTGACTCAAGTTAGTGTGCCCAGAGTTCTTCTGTTAGCCCACCTGGCTTCCAGCAAGCTCTAACAATCCTCCTGCCCTGAGCTCCCACAAGCCACACCAGGCTTTTTAAAGTGTGTGTTGGGGATTCAAACTTAGGTCCTCAGGCTTGTGCAGCAAGTGCTCCTACACTCTGAAACATCTTCCCAGCCCCCAAAGCTCATTAGTTTGTTTGATTTTTGAGACAGGGAATGCAGCCCTGGCTGGCCTGGAATTCACTGTGTAGACCAGGGTGGCCTCAAACTCAAACAGATCTGCCTTTTTCTGCTTCTCACTGGGACTGAAGGCATCCTCTACCACATCTGCCTCCCCAAAGCTCTTTTTAACTCATATGTTTCCTCATGCAGAACAGAGAAGATAAACAAAGACAGTTAGGATTGTAAGGCAATCCCTAGCTTTTATATCAAGCTAACATATCTTTTTTTTTTCTTTATATGTAGCCCACCTGCTGTGGGCAGCTATGAACTGTGTAATATCTACTTTATACTTTTCCACTCTGGGCTCTAAGTCCTTTCCTGAGAATTTGCTTCTGTATGACCCAGGGTCAGTTGTTGAACCTTTCTGTTTTGTACCACTTAAAATGAGAGAGAGAAAGGGAGAGAGGGGGTTAGAATTATCATCTTCCCCTCCTTGGGTTGTTCTGAGGATTATATTAGTTTGTGCATTCACATGAGGTAGTGAGATCAGTGCTCAGCCAGAAATAAAAGTGTTTGGGGAATTAAATATGTGTCATGCATGTATTCTCTGACATCATCTAACACATAAGGTTCTACTGTAGCTTTTCAGGGAGTAAATTCAGGATAAAGGTGAAAAAGCTAGTCAGGATCCCACAAGAAAGAAATGACAAAATTGAAGTCTCAGCATGTGTAATGCCACACGCCATAATCTTAGCTGAGCCTTAGTGGTGAGGGCCTATTATCCCAGATTCTCAGGACTGGTGGCCGAGGCAGGAAAATGAAAAGCTCAAGGCCTTTTCTGGGCTACAGAGTAAATTCAAAACCAGCCTGGGCAATTTAATGAGACCATCTCAAAAGGTTAAAAAAAAAACACAATCCCAGGGGGCTGGAGCAATAACTCCATGGTTAAGAGCACTGGCTGCTCTTGTAGAGGACTTGGGTTCTGTTCCCAGGACCCACATTGTGGCTAACAATCATTTGTAAGTCCAGTTTCAGGGGATCTGATGCCCTCTTCTGGTCTCCTTGGGCACTGCACATCACAGGTGCATTTATATGCATATAGCAATACACTCATACACATAAAATTTATGTACCACAACCATCCCTCAAAAAAAAAAAAAGGCAATGTAGCTCAAGAGCAGAATGGTTCCCTAGAGTCCACCAGGAGGAGCTGATGGCATGGTTTGGTGACAGACTCCCTCCCTAGATAGACTCCACCAGCTAGGAGCTGGGAACAGGGCTCAATGGTAGAAAGAGGGGTATGAAGCCCTGTGTTCCACCCCCAGCACTGCAACAAAAGGGGGTAGGAATCTAGTTAACATTTGCTTATTGAATGTTATAATTTGCTGTGTACTGAGATTTTTATGGGCAACATCTCACCAACTGTTGCAAAAAACAAAAAATCTATGGTGCAGTCTACTAGTATTCCATTTCCCCAGGTTAGGAAAGAAGGTTGGGAAGGCCACTTAACTTACCCAAAGCCACACAACAATGGCCCCAGCGAGACCTAAACCTGGGAGGTACTGATTTTCTGACTTCCACTGCTTTTCACTTCTAACTCACTGCAGAGCAGGTGCTGCGCTGAAGAGTATTACTTGCTCCTAGAGGGGATTTTTATGTTACATTGTGGACCAAGATTCACTAGTGAGGAGGCTGGAGAGATGGCTCAGTAGTTAAGAGTACTGGCTGCTCTTGCAGAGGGCTAGGGTTTGGTTCCCAGCACCCACATGGAGGTTAACAATCGTCTGTAACTCCAGGTCCAGGGGATCCGACATCCTCTACTGGCCTCTGTGGGTTTGCATATGCATGGTGCACTTACATGCAGACAAATTGCTCCTATACATAAAACTTAACAAAATTAAAGGAATCACTAATGAAGGGCTGGAGAGATGGCTCAGCAGTTAAGAGCACTGGCTGCTCTTGCAAAGGAGCTGGGTTTAGTTTCCAGCAGGTAAAAACACTCATACACATAAAGATAAATAAAATTAAAAAATTACTGAGTCAAACTCAACGTTTAAAAACAAAATACATCAAAATATGAACTATCAGAACACCTGCTACATTGTTAAGGACAAGCCTTAGTTCATAAAAATTGTTGTTTCCATTATAGGGAAAGGAGGGGTAGCGATTGTGTGCCAAGATACAATAAAAATGGATTTACTCACCTAGGTTAAGGTCAGAGCAATTTGATCAGCACTCAGAACTGGTAAATCAAGACTGATTTCAGAGCTTCCCATATAGCACAGGGTTGTAATCTCAGTGTTTGGAAAGCTGAGGCAGGAGGATTGCCAGGAGATCCTTTCTCAAAAACAAAACAAACAGATAACAACAAAACCTCCCCCAAAGAAACAACCAAACAAATATTGGTTTGAACTAGGTCTTGTGGCCAGGCCTGTAATCCAAGCTACTCAGGAGGGTGAGGCAGGAGAATCACAAAGTTCAAGGTCTGCCTGGGCTACAGAGTGAGTTCAAGGCCAATCTGGACAACTTAGTGAGATCTTGTCTCAAAATGAAAAGTAAAAAGAGGGCTGGGGATGTAGCTCAGTGGTAGATTGCTTGCTTAATATGCCTGAGACCCTGCTCCCTAGGGAGCAGAGGGGAAAACATGTAGTGTGTGTGTATGCATGCATTAGATGGTCCTCGGGCTATCTTATTATTATTATCTAATTATTATTTTGAATGGTTTTGGCTGTACATTGTGCCTACATTATCACAGATACTTTCCAGGGTGCCAGTTACTGAAAAGAACAGTGCTGGCTGCTTTACTTTCCCTTTATAGTTTTACCAAATCTAATCTTTGTTCTGCAGGTATTGTTTGAGTGACACAGCTTTTCCTTTCCCCAACACTAGCCCTAGCAATTGGGCTGACAGTATTAAAAACATAGTTTCCCTTTCAAGTAAGCATTTCTGTGTGCTCTGTAAGGGATTCATAGCGTCATTTTACCCATTGTACAAGGACAGGAAACAAAAAGATTAATTCATGGAGATCTACATAACTGGCAAAGGGTGGAGCTCTGATAGAAATAGAAACAAGAACTCTCATAGCCTCAATGGCTGTTACAAGTACAGAGTCATCAAAGTCCCCCCGACAAGTTCCACAGAAGGATCAAGTTCCAGGATGTGGGCGGAGGCTGCCTGGGTTTCTATTGACTGTCCAGTCAGGTGAAGTGATCTGGCAATAGTGCACCTGGTTTAAAATGGCAGCTGCAAAGTATGCCATTCGTGATAGTTTTGGGGTGTGTGTGTGTGTGTGTGTGTGTGTGTGTCTGTCTGTCTGTGTGACATTTACAGTACCTACAGAGGACAGAAAACAGCATCAGATCCCCCTGGAGCTGGAGTTGTGAGCCATCCAACATGGGTGCTGGGATCCAAACTTTTGAAAGAGCAACAAACACTCTTTTTTTTTTTTTTTTTTTTTTTTTTTTCCTTTTCCCCTGAGACAGCATCTTCCTGTAGCCACAGCAGGGCTTGGAACTCACTATGTAGACCAGGCTAGCCTCGATCTCAGGGAGATTCACCTGCCTCTGCCTCCCGGCTGCTGGGATTAAAGGCTGTGTCACTACACCCAGCTCCAGCACACATTCTAACCACTGAGACATCTCTCCAGCCTTCCATTCCTGCAAAATTTTAACATATGGGACATTTACTTCATTTTGTGTTTTAAAATATATGAAATGTTGTACTGTTGGGTCATGGTCTCCCAAGAGCAAATGATTTTAATTATAAAAAGCTCTGTAAATATACAGCTCCCATGGACCACCCCAAACCTCCCAAATTAGAACCTTCATGCAGGTCTGTTTTGTGTTTTTTAAAATTATTTTGTTATCTTCATTTCGTGTGTACAAATGTATTGCCTGCATGTGTGTAAGTGCAACCATGTAGTGCAATGCCCATGGAGGTCAGAAGGCACTAGATCCCTTGGAACTGGATTTACAAGTGGTTGTTAGCCACCTTGTGGGTGCTGGAAATCGAACCCCTGTCCTCTACAACAGTAGCCAGTGCTCTTAACCACTGAGCAATCTCTCCAGCCCTTCTGTTGCGATTTTTGTCCATGCTCCATAGATCCTTCCTGCACTATCTCTCTCTCCTTTGCCCCCCCCCACCGGCCCCCGTGTGCGTGTGTTTCAAGAGGGCCTGGTTGGCCCTAGACCTGTGCCCTGGGGCACTTCCTAAACAGTCTGCCAGGTTGGCACAAGGTAGTTTCCTGGTACCTGGAATATGGGAAGACTCAAATATTAGTTATTGGAGGTGATCCACATAGTATTGTGGACATGTTAGACTGGGGAACGCTTGAATCTAATCTGAGTTTTGAGTTCAGAAGTTGTAATTTTGGGCCCTTTCAGAGCCTCAATTTTACCATTTGTCAACTGGGAATAATCCCACCAGAGCTACACCTTATCAGAACATTCTTGGAGATAGCTGTGTGGCTGGCTAGGTGAGTCTGGAACACAGCCCCGGGTGAGGCTGTGCTAATGCGCCTGTACACCCGCAGATGCCGGTGCTGAAGCAGGTGGGTCCTGCACAGCCCAAGAAGCGACTGGAGCGTGGGGCACTGTCCATCTCCGCACCACTCGGAGACTTCAGGCACACGCTGCACGTGGGACGCAGCGGCGACGCCTTCGGGGACACCTCGTTTCTGAGCCGCCACGGGGGCGGCCCACCCCCCGAGCCCAGCGCACCACCCGCCCAGGCCCCGCGTTCGGCCCCTCCGCCTGCAGTTCCTCAGCCCCCGACGCCTGGTCTCTGTGTGCCTGCACCTGCCGACCCGCTGCTGTCCTTCCACCTGGACCTGGGCCCCTCCATGCTGGACGCAGTCCTGGGCGTCATGGACGCGGAACGCGCAGAGGCTAAGGCTGCCAAGCCCCATGGGGACGCCCACCCTGGGACGCAGCACTCCAGGGCCCGCTGCTGCCCCAGTGCTGACCTCCAGCTGGACAAGGTCATTGGCCTGTAGTGTCCTGATTCCCACAACCCTCCCGCCCAGCACCCCACTTTTGTACACATAAATGGCCGAGGTTTGCGCCCTGGGTTCTGTCTGTTCACTTTACGCGGGAAGGGGTCCGGTAGGAGGACGATGATGGGGTTCCACCAACTTCAAGGGCCAAGTGGTTCTCTTGAGGTATGGAATGGTGAAGTGCTGTTCCTTTAAGGCTACTGGGAGCCTGGCCATGTAGTGCCCCTCCCAGGGAGTGGGGGTCTCGCACCTGGCCACTCTCACTGCTTCATTCATTCGTCAAATGTTGACACAGTGTCGCAGCCAGCCGGACAAGGTCCAGACTCCGCGGCCAACTCAGCGTCACAAAGGCTAGAATGCGGCCTGGAGAGCCACGGGCACCTGGTGGAGCGCATCCCAGGTGGACTCTGCCTGGGCGGAGTCACTTTTTCTCTGGGAGCAGCCGCAGAGGGCAGTGGTTGGGGACCCCTTTAGGACCACAAGGGGGGCGTGGTCCTGGTGGGGAGGCCTTCTTGTCCAGCCACAAGTGTGTCTGTCCGCCTGCGGCGGCTGTTGCGTCACAAATCTGAGCACAAAGTTCAGCCTGAGCCTCCAGGCGTTCAGGATTTTTAACATCAGAGAGGGCCAGGGATGCCCACGCCGACAGCAAGAACTGAGGGCGGAGCCGGGCTCTCCAAGGTTCCTAGAGGGGAGGAACCTCGGATGTTAACGGCTTGGCTGGGAGTGAGCTAGTTTAGGTCCTTGGAGCGGCGAGACGCGAGGAAATTAACAGGCGGGAATCCCGCGTTGTAAGGTTCTTTAAAGTCTCCAGGGGGCCGACTAGGGACAGAAGCAAGACCTTTAAACCCGGTCCCCATAGCCACACACAAGTAAACCTACGTAATGGTGACAAGGCCAGTAAGGCCAATGAGGGGCGGGGCATCTGTAAAGCGGTTGGACGGGGATGGAGCCAAGCTACCGTTCCCTAGAAACGCGGGAAATATAAAGAACTTGGTGGGGGACAGGACCCGGCATCTTGGGGCATCTGCTCTTTGAAGCGAGGCATGTATTCTTTAATTGAATGGGTGGGTGGGGGGGCACCACGCTCTTTAAGGGCAGTGAGGGGCGGGGCACATGTAAATCAGTTGGACAAGGCGGGGTACATGTAAAGTATTTGGATGCGTGGGGCCAGGCCGTCAAGAGTCGTCGAGGGGCGGGGCATATGTAAAGTACTTGGTTGGATGGGGCCAGGCTCTCTAAGGCCCCAGGGGCGTGACACACCTATTTGGATGGTTGGGTCAAAAGGTAAATGTAAAGTGTTTGGAGTGGGACCAAGCTAAGACCCTCCCGATTGGGACCAGGCTTTCTAAAGTGACCCTCAAAAGGTAAATGTAAAGTGTTTGGAGTGGGACCAAGCTAAGACCCTCCCGAGGGGTAGGAGACGTGTAAATCATTTCAACCTGACGGGCACAAGTAAAAGTACTTGGAAGGGGCGGGACCAGAGTAAGGCCCCACCCCCCGAGGTCCCTCTAGGGCGGGACAGATGTAAAGTATTTGGCAGGGACTAACTGTACATCATTTGGAGGAAGTGGGGCACATGTAAATTATTTGGAAGGGGTGGGACGAGGCTAAGGCCCCCACTTCACCCACCAAGGGGCGGGACACATAAAGTATTTGGACTGGACGGGCGAGACACCGGACGGGCACATAGAAATCATTTGGAGGAGGTGGGGCACATGTAAATCAGTTGGACAGGGCGGGGCACATGTAAAGTAGGACCGGACAGGGGAGACAAGGGACCGGCACATACTAACCATGTGGAGGCGGGACATAAGCAAATCATTTGGACGGGGCAGGGCATATGTAAAGTACTTGGGCCGCACCTATAGATCATGTGGAGGAGGCGGGGCACATGTAAATCAGTTGGACAGGGCGGGACACCTGTTAAGTACTTGGACTGGCACATACAAATCACGCAGAGGAGGCGGAGCACGTGTAGAGCATTCGGGTGGGGCTGTGTGCGGGAGGCGCCGGCTGGCGTCACTGTTAGGTCCGTGGGCGGTGGGAGCAGGGCTGCCCGGAGCGCCCAGTCACCCATGGAGGCGGCGGTCGGAGGTTCCGAGCGGCCCCCAGCGGCCTGCCGCTTCTTCCTGGAGGGCCGCTGCCGCTTCGGGGCGCGCTGCCACCAGCCCCACCCCGGAGCTCCCGCGCCGCCGGCCGGGGAGGCGCAGCCGGAGGCTGGGGCCAAGAAGCCGGCGCTGCGCACGGCCGCCGACGTCATCCAGCGCATCCGCTGGGACCCGCTCCTGGACCCCGCCGACTTCACAGTGGGCTACGCCGACCGCTTCCTGGGCGTGCTGGAGGAGCCCTTCGGCGCCTTCTGCTGGGACGAGCCATTGGCGGCGCTCGGGCCCGGGACGCTGGCCGTGCCGCAGCACCGCGTGCGCTACTTCCGCTTCCGCGGCCGCCTGGTCTGGGACCGGGACTCGCGCACAGACCTGGTGTTCGGCTCCGGGCGCGCGGCTGGCCGGGGACCCACCATCCTGGACGCGCTGGTGGGCCGGGACGCGCACGGCACCGAGGACTCACAGGACCGGGAAGAGAACCCGCCCGAGGCGGAGCTAGAGATTAGGGCTCCGCCTGAGGGTGGAAACCCCCAGGACGCCCCTAAGGAAGAGGGTGGAGGCCTGGCCAGGCCAGGGCTACAGTCAGGACTGGAGGCGCCGAGAGAGGCCCAGCTGAGCTTGGCCACGGACTCTGAAACACAAGACCCAAGGGAGCGCCTGGCCAGAGCCAGAGAGAGGATCTCGGAGCCTGAAGAGACTCCTGGAATCAGGAAGCTGTCGCTGGGGCAGGCGCAGGCCCCGGAGTCTTCTGCTGGAGAGAGAGAAACCGACTGGGGTGCAGGGGCTTGGCCTGGAAACGGGTGGGCACCTCGCCAGCCCCGGCCCACACATTTTGTGGCCTTGATGGTGACAGAGCCTGGGCTCCAGGCAGAAGTGGCCAAAGCCCAAGCGCACCTGGTCCAAGTTGCCCCTTCCTGTGCCCCGTTCCTGATCCCCACAGAGGCCCTGCACTTGACGGTGGCCTTACTGCGGCTGACGGGCCCTGGGGAGGAGGCGGCAGCAGCCGCAGCTTTGAGAAGGGCCCTCTTGGCCCCAGGACTTCAGATACCCTCCCGGCTACAGTTTAGGGACCTTGTTCTGCTGGGACATCATGTGCTCTGTGCCCTACCTTCCCCCACACTAGAAGGCATGTCCCAAGCTCTGAGTCAGAGGCTAGAGGCTGAAGGGCTTCAAGTGCTGCAGCCCCCTAGGGGGCTACACCCCCATCTCACACTGGCCAAGGTGCCATATGGCTCCGAGGTCTGCATCCCCGAGCCTGGGTGCACCCTGAACCCAGAGCTAGGGAGCCAGGCCCTAGGGAAACTCTGCCTGTGCCGCATGGGGCGGGCTGGAGCACTCTACCAGCCCCTGGCGGAGATCCCTCTGGAGTGACACCTGCGCAGGAGACAGGCCAAGCAGAATCTACAAGTTTGCTCTCTCTCACTATTTAATTTTGGTTTCTTTCAAGCTTTCAAAATGGTACTCAGTGCTCAAGGAAAGAATGAAGGGGGGGGAAGAGGATGTGGGAGGGGAGGCAGAGGGACATCTGGAAAAAAAGCAGCCTGACAGTCCAGCTGTTTGCAACCTCAAAGCACATCCTCCAGTTACATGGCAGAAGAGGGGAGGGAGGGGGAGGACCAAAAAGAAAAGGGAGAAAGAAGAAAAAGAACTTAAATAAACACACACACACAAAGAAAAGGAAACATGACGTGAGCTGGTGATCCATGAAGGCGGGAGGGAGAAAGGAAGGGTAAACGTTTTACCTGTGCTGAACCAGGGAGGGAAGGGGGAGGAAGAGGAGGGAGGGAAGGGGAAAAAAAATCAAGACATTGGGGCAGAGGGAAGAAAGGACACGGAGACAAATTAATACAACTTGAGTGAGACGAGGCGGCCCGGCCGGCGTGGTCCCGCGAAGGCCTGGAGTCCTCAGTGCGGTGTGCCGGTGGTGCTGGCGTTTCTGGGGTGAGGGGCCGAGGATGGGGCATAGTCTCTAGGCAGCTCCCCTCATCCCAAACACTGAGGCCCCAAAGGCTGGGCAACAAGAGTCTATGGCGAGGCAGTCGAGGCAGCGGATGTGGCTGGCTGGTGCCCCGCTGCGGGCAGGCACGGGCTGGACGGCCTGTCTTCTTTCTGCGGCCCCCTAGCATGGGATGGGCCAGCAAGCAGCGTCAGGTGCTGGAGTACGAGCTCGAGAGAGAGAGAGAAAAAACACTGAGACAGCATTAGTGGAGGTGAGAGATGGACACAGACCCTGCAGCCCCCCCTCCACTGCACCCCCAACCATTCCCTCTGAGACAAAAAATAAAAACGTAGAAAAATCTCTGTACAGACTCCCCGGTGGGAAAACGGGGGCAGGGATGTTGGCTCTTCCTGGAGCCCACTCCCCATAAATTTACAACCCAAGTCCATGGCTCAAAAACAGAATCCGCTAAGGCGGCGCTGGGGGCCGCGGCCCTGCCCCCGCCCGTGCTTGATGGGTGCTCAGAAGGCTGGCAGCTGCGCCAGGCTGAGGCGGCAGTCCACGCTGGCGTTGTCGGGGCCCGTGTAGGCCAGGCCCAGGGGCTCTAGGAAGGCCCGGCAGGCGGCCTCGCCCTCGAAGGCCAGCTCGGCCTGCAGGTAGGAGACTGGCAGCGCAGGGCGGAAGCTAGGGAGACAAGAGGAGAGAGTGCTGAGGCCAGGGGGTAGGGGAGGGCCCACGAGTGGGGAGCAGGGCCCCCCATTCGGGCACCCTGGTTTCCTCAGCAGGACCTGATGGCTTGTGTAGCCCCTCCCACCCGCCCACGTCATGGGCTTGAGGGGCCCTGGGATGGGGTTGGCAGCCCCAGTGCCCAGATGTGCCCCCCTTTGCCCACACTTACCTGTCCAGGAAGGAGGGGGCAGGAGGGGAAGGGCCCAGCTTGGCTCCTGCACTGGCTGAGGGGCTGCAGCCAGACAGAGGAAGTGTACGTGGGCAAGAGGGTGGGGCCAACAGTACCCCCAGGAGCTCCTGCAGACCCAGGCAGGGTAGCACAAGCCCTGTCACACTCAGCAGTCACTGCCTGCCTGCTACTGGGATGCCCTGCTCACCGTGCATGTTACATATAGTCAGGAACCTGCTGCCCCACACCTCCTGCTAACCCTGGCCTGTAGGCCATCACACCCATCACTCAGGAATCCTCACCAAACTCTAACCCAGGCTTCTCCCCACCCTGCTCCGAACATGACTGCTGCTTGTCCCCCAAGCCAGTCCCCAGACCCTGGCAGGGCACGGGGTCTGCCACCTGCCAAGCATGGCTGCGCAAGTTCACACGGAAGGTGCGGGTAGAACCATCGAGGTCAGCAGCAGGCCAGGCCCCACTCACAAGGGCCCCTGTGGCTGCACAGCCCTCAGGGAGGACCATGGGCAGACGATGACCAGCTCAAGGTTCACATTCCCAACCACACGCCCACGGACACAAAGCTGGAGAGCGGCGACTCATCGCCCCAGCTGGTCCAGTCTGGTACCATGTCCCATGTCCTCTTCTGCCCGTGGCCCCTCCCCAAGTCATCCTAACTAAAGCAGAACCCCAGAACAAGTTTCCTGACCTGCAGGATGCAGGTCCTACCATCCTAGGGCACTATCTTCATGAGAAAATGGCTGCCTGGTGTACCAGGCCCTCATGACCCCGGGACTCAAGCTGGCCAGGCCCCTGCTGTGGAGCTGATGTTGAGGAGCATCCCGGCTTTCGCTCACTGGATGGCAAGAGCATCCATCCCCATGTGACAACCAAAAATGTCTCCTGGGGGCATCTCAACCCCAACAAAGCCGAAGGTCAGGGCACAGGAGAGTCTCTTCCTCACCCGTGGTGAGCCTCACCCAACCTCTTGTAGTCAGAGGGCCTTCTGACACCACCCTCCATGTGGCTGGTCCCCACCACTCTCCTAAACACTGTGGTACTCCAGGCCTCATCTTGAGACCAGAAGCTGCATAAGCCAGCGGGCCACCCTCTCTATAAGTCTGGAATTGGAGCAGTAAAGAGCTGCAGGAGGCAGGCAGAGGCCTCGGAGGGCAAGAGCCCAGAGGGCTGAAGATGAACCAGTCCAGGCTGATGTCAACAGGAGGAAGAGCACAGGGAGGGGGGGACGTGACACCAGGAGCAGGCAGGTAAGAATGGTGGGAGGAGGAACACGAAGAGCGATCCGGAGCCAGCGGTGGCTGAGGAGAAAGCCATGGGTACCAGGGAGGGGACTCCACCACAGGAGCCGAGGGCTGCCCGGACCATGAGAAAAGGGGTGTGGCAGAGCCACAGCACAGAAGGCAGCAGAGTGCAGGGCACATACGTTTTGATCATGGCCTTGAGGGCAGCTTTGCGCTCTCGGTCTGCAAACTTGTCCACGAGGTAGGCAGACATGCAAGGCGCATGGCAGTAGAGCTGGAAGAAGCGGTGGTAGTTGCCCAGGGCCCAGGCTGCTCTCAGGGCCAGTGCGTGCGACACGCAGGGGTCCGCCTTCAGCTCCTTTGTGAGGTATGCCAGCTCCGTGGTGATGTCTGCACAGGAGACAACTTGAGGTCAGGCAGCTGAGTACCACCCTGGCCACGCTGCCTGTGCCTGAGTGCTAGGCATCTCACCTCCAGAGTTCTTGGTGAAGATGTAGTAGAGGATTCGGTACGCAGTAAACTCGCCCACATTGCCCGGCAAGTTCTCCGCGTACAGTGACTTGAGCTGTGTCTGGCACTGGTTGAACTCTTCATGGTCACCCTGGGGGTGGGGCATGGAGGACCAGTGTGAGGCAAGGGCTCTGAGGGAGGTGGGAGGAGGTCCACTGCAGCTGCCTGGCCACCTACCTTCTCCAAGGCAATGCGGGCATGGGTCTCATACACCTCCACGGTAAACTCGGTGCGGACACCTTGTACCTGGGCAGTGGGGAGACAGGAGTCAGGTGGAGCAGGGCAGGTGCGGATGGTTACACCACAGCCCCTCACATCTGCCTCACCGTCAGGTCCTGCCGAATGGACTTCATCTGTTCACAGGCGAAGGCGTAGTCCTGCTTCTCCTTCCAGTGAGACTTGACCATGCACAGCGACTTCTTCAAAACCTGTAGGGAACGGAGTCAAGGCTGAGTGCACGAACGGACAGCTGACCGGTCCAAGGCACCATGAACCCACGCAGCGCCCACAGCTCAATGACTATGGCACCAACCTGTGTCAGTGACTCACCACCACCTATAAACAAAAAGCCAACACCACAGCAGGAGCAAGTGCCCCACCACTTCCTGTTCACAGCGCTGTACCATCCTGAAGCAGGGCAGCAGCAGCCTCCATGGCTGCTTGGCTCCAGGTGCCCAGCAATCCGGGTGAGATGCCCTGGCCTGAGGCAGGGCTCCACACGACTATCTTAAGTTTGACTACTGCCATGCTCTACAGGAAGTGTTAAAAGCCTGCATGCTGGGGGTCTTTCCCTGGTGAGGGCTGCTATCCCTCCCACTCCATGAGTCCCCTCCCCAACTTAGTTCCCTGGCTTTATGCCAACACTTCTTAGGGCAGACCCGCCCTGCCTGGGACTTACAGCCACAGGGCGCACAGTTGATGGGTCAGGGGCACAGGTGAGACGCAGGTAGTGCTTGGTGATGTCAGGACAGGTGCCCACAATCTGCAGCTCCTGCCAATCAGGGTCGGCTCCGCTGTTGTCCAGGTTGCTCATCTGCAGCACCAAAGGCTCGAGGCGCAGGCGGCGTGAGTGCCCGTGCTGGAAGCGGGCTGCCCTCTTCTGCTTCTTCAGCTCACGCTCTGGGTCCTCACACTCGAGTGCAGCCATCTTCTTGCGGCTGCGTTTGCTGGGAGCCAGGTCGTGTCTGGGAGGGAGGGGGTGAAGGAGGCTGGTATCTTCAGACACACTTGATTCAGCACCAGGCCGTCGACACTACCTGTGAGCCCCGGGACCCTCACCATGCCCAAGAAGCAATCCCACCAAAGCCTCACCTCTTTCCGCGCTGTGCCCTGCCTCGGCCCCGATCCATGTGGGCCCCTCGACCACCCCGGCCCTTGGGGGGTGGGTTCCTGCGGCCTACAGGGTGACACTCATTCCCTGAGTAGGAGCTGTCGGAGTCTGAGTGCGAGTCACTGCACAAAGAAGCAGAAAGGTCAGGCCTGAAGCTGCCCCCTCCCAAGTGGAAGGGTCAAGCCTGAAGCAGCCCCCTCCCAGTGGTCCTCCAGCCTGGGCCTGCGCACCTTCTCCGAAAGTGGCGGGTAGGGGATCTGGATGAGGAGCGGGAGCGGGAGTCCGTGCTGGAGGAAGAGCTGTTGTCCTTCATGAAGACGTTGCGGTTGCCGAACTTGGCGAAGCTGCTACCCCGGGCTCGGCCAGCACCCCCAGCCCCGGGTGTCCCTCGCTGGGATTGGGCACCCCCGCCCCTGGTCACCGAGCCTGCCCCCCTGGGAGGGTGAAGGCTGCTAGGGGCCTCCCACCGCTTCTTCTTGGGGCTCTCAGCCACAGGCTCCCTGGTCAGCCTGAGGATATAGCAGGGCAGGGCATCACCAACCAGCCACAGTCTGCAGGACTGTAGACCCCACCACGGCCCAGGGGCAAGAAACCTCAGAAAGGAGAGGCACTTACCCCGGCAACTCAGCTACCATGGTGCAGGAAAGGGACCAAGCCCAAGATTGTCTGTGTCCAGGGGGTACTCTTAGCCACCAAGCCACCCACACCTCTCCAGTACCTCACTCCCAAGGACTCCAGCCTTGATCACTCACTCCCAAGCCTTCTACCCACCCCCTGGGGCCCGGAGCAGGCTTCCAGCTTGCAGTTCATCTCTCTGGAGCTGCTGGTTCTTGAGGCCCAGGTGCCCAGCCCCGTACCCTGTAGCCCCGGTTTATCTATTACCCAGACTGACCCAGGCAGAGGCTCTCGGCTCCAGTCAATGGTGTAGGCAGAACCGTCCTGGAGCCGGGCCTGTAGCACCTCCTTGAGCAGCTTCTCAGTCCGATCCTTGTCCTCTTCTGACTCGCAGGCTGTGAAGCACCGCTCCACATACTCCTTCATATCCTGAGGCCAGTCGTCTGGCTTCCCAGACAGGTTTCCCCGGGCAGAAGGCCCGCTGTGGGGGAAGGCAGGGCAGTCAACTAAGGGTCCACACCCCAGCAGAGGCCTGATGGTGGTCTTGAGATGACAACCCGGCACTGCCCATTTCCAGTATCCCCTTCACCTCACGGGAGCACTCAGAACTGCCCTGGAGATGACCCTGAGTACAGACCCTGCTGAGCAAGGAGCATGCGTAGAAGAGGCGGTCATCACCTGTGGTTCTGGGCTTTCTCAGGGGTGGGCTGGGGGCCGAAGCTGCTGTGCTGACCCTCTGCACTGGAGCTGAAGGTCTGGTTGGTGACAGCAAAGGGCCGCTTCTGGATGTTGAACTTGAGGCCTCCAGTCCCAGGGGCTGCTGTTGGGAGGGCAGCACAGACTGGAGTTAGGCCCCTCCCCAGACACACTAACAGGAGAGACCAAGCTCTGGAATGTTCCAGAACAGCCCAGCTCTAAACTAAGGCCAGCCCTGAAAAGGACCAGGTACCACGTAGCTTACTCGGTACGAGTACCAAGCCCCTAATCCCAGCTCCACTGATCTGCCAACTCACGCTTCATGCGGGTCCACAGTTGCTGGCTCTTCTTGGGCTTGGCAGGCTCACTGTAGCTGTGCGGTCCATAGGCCTGTCCAGCAGGTGTCCCCGCCTGATTGTGCTGTGTGGCTGGGGCTGTTCCAGGCTGAGGACCATTGCTCAGACCGTGTGCCCCATGAGGGGGGTTGGAGGGCTGAGGGGGCTGGCTGGCCGGCAGCTGCTGAGGGGAAGCTTGGTAGGCCATGCTGTCATCCATGCCAGGGACTGGGGGCTGCAGGAGGAAACAGGGGCTAAACAAGGGGGCGGGGGGGCAACATCCTGGGGCTGGCTCACACGGCACTCGGGTCTCATGGTGACCTTCCTCAGCACCAGTGCTACTGGGACGGTGCCTGCTGCCACTGTGCTGGCAACTCTCTGGGTGTCTACTTCTACCAGCAATGTGCTCCACAGCTGAGAGGACTCTCACTCAAGGAACTAAAGGACGCTCTGTGGCTGTCAGAAAGCAGCTCCCAGCACACCAGCACTGGGGCCTGACTTACTAAACTGACAGCCACTGACAGCACATGCTGGAACCCTAAAGTTAAGTTGCACCCTCCACACTGAGGAACTGAGGTGGCGGTTAGCTGACCCCAGAATCCCACAGGAGTGGGTGTGCTAAGATGCAGACCTCCCAGGCTCTAAACTCCTCCAGGCTGCACCTGCGTGCAAAGGCAGCATGCATGCATGCGTGTATGTGCAGGCATGTGTATGTGCATGCCGGACGAGAAGACAGGCCACTACACTACAAACTGCCCCCCATGTTCCGCATACTGCAGCCCCCAACCTCCCTGGTTCCCAAGCCCACTTTGGTTCTAAGAACTATGTCTTGCCCTCCTGTTCTTAATCAGTTGGTAGGCAGGTAGGTAGGTAGGCAGGTAGGAAGGGAGGGAGAGGGAAAAAAGCAGCTTTTTAAAAAGAGTGTAGATGGTTCCCTGGTTGCCGGTGCTCTGAAAACCTGCACTCCTGCTCCCACCAGACTGGGACGTGGCTGGGCACAGTATTACCTGGTTCAGAGTTGCTTGGTGCTGGGGAGCCGATGGCTGCTGGGCTGTAGCTGAGCCATAGGAGCTGGCCATCCCGTATTGGGAGGGGGAGCCGTAGCTCTGGTACATGCTCTGCCAAAGCACAGGGAGAGCCAGGTCAGTGGAGGCTGCGCGCCTTCTGCCTTGCCTGGAACCATGTGCGGCTCAGGGGCTACAGATCCCACACCCCTTTTCTCTCTACCACGTAAATGCACCAAATTAAAAAAAAAAAGAAAAAAGAAAAAGAAAAACCTCTCTTTATCCCACTTATGCCAGCACTCAGAGCCCTTGTCAACAAGTAGTGAGTGCCGACTCCTCAAAGTGTTGAGAAACACAGGGCTGGTAGTGGTAGTGGACTCAGACTCAGGGGGCCAACCCGGGCTATCTAGAGAGCCCTGACTCAAAAAGGAAAAGCAAAAACCCAGGCTTTCATGAAGTCTACACACCCTGTAGGCATAAGCCTGCAACACGTCCCGAAGTAAGTACCGCGAAAGAAAATAAAGCAAGGAGAGGACCAGAGGCAGAACAGGACTCTAAAGGCCCAGCAGCGCAGGCTCTGAACGGAATCCCTGATGTGAGCACAGTGAGGCTGAGTGTGCTGCAGCAGAGGGAAGCACAGGGTACCTACATGTGCCGACGTCCCAGGGGCTGGAGGCAGCACGGAGGTGTGCGTCACTCATGGAGGTGTGTGTTAACAGTGGGACGGGAGGGCCAGAACAGATAGAGTATCTGGTGGGGCCTGAGCAGGGTGCTGGGCTTGACCTCTGGGTACTGGCTGTGAGCTAGGGGAGGCTTCCCAAACACCTTCGTGGCTGTCTTCACCCCCACCGACCCTCTGCCCACATGAAGCCCCGGGCTTGAACGTACCATGGGGTAGTAGTAGCTGTAGGGATAGGCATAGCTGTATTGCTGGTACCACTGGTAGTACTGCTGCTGCTGCAGAGCTTCTGCCTGAGATGCATACTGAGGAGACAGAGGTGCCTGTGTCAGCACAGGCCACGGGAGCCCACAGCACTACAGGCCTAAGAGGGCAGGCCTCTACCGCAGAGTAATTGCAGGGAACGTTCAGTCCAGGGCTCTAGAAGAAGACTAAGCTCCTGGGCCCTACGGTGGGCCTCCCTCCTCAGGATCAAATCGCTCAGACCCTGGCCGAATCAGGAAGCTCCCCCTTTTCCCTCGTCACATTTACATGACAGAAAATGTCCGTTTCCACCTCCCGAGACGCTCCATCCTACCAGTGCCAGAGTCCTTCCACCACCCACGACCGCCAGCCCAGGGGTTCCCAAGCCTTTGTGCTCATCTCACTTGTGCACTGGCCACAGGCCCACTGCTGCTGGCTTTGGAGCTGCCAGCTGCCCCTGCTTTGCTGATGCTGGCCAGTGCCTGGCGGGCCTTCTCCCACTCTGGGTTCTCATGCATGGGGGTCTCCATGCCATTCTCTCTGCTGCCTCCTGCCACCATGCTGTACTGGGAGGACCTGCAGACATGAGACACCGAGCCACAGGTGGACAAGGTTGGGGGAGGCAAACAGGAGGGGTTAAGAGCCTAGTGTTAAGCTCCCGACCCACCAGGGCCTAAGCTGAGGCTAGCACAACGCAGGTGCCAGACAGTGGAGGGCCCACTATCCATAGGACCTAGCACCTCAGAAGGCTTCAGGGCTTTATGAAAAATGAGTTCTGATGTGATCAGCTGTGAACAAACAAGGAATCGGCATAAAGACAAAGTAGGGGAGTGATGTTTGGCGGCTGCTTCCTAAATACAGGTGCCTGAAAAAATCATCACAGCCCCGAAACAAACCCCACACCACGAAAAAGGAAAGCAGAGGGGAAGCCCACCCCCAGACTGGAGGGGCTGCTGCACCTTTTTCCCCCAAGCTGTGAGACCCCACCCCAGAGAACACCTCATCTTGGTCTTTCCCTCCTCACTGGGGTCGGTCTGCCCCCATGCCCTACTAACCAATCTGTGCTGCGCTGATCACCCACATTGGCCGCCATCTGGACCTCGGGGTGTAAGGAGTGAACCTCGGGAGCCAGACTGCTTTTTCACTGTCTGTAAGAGAAAAGATAGGTTAGGAAGACCCAAGAGAGAGGAGGAAGAAAAGGAGGTTATGACCATGAGAGCCCAGGCAGAAAGGGGAAAGTACTTTATAGAAGGGAATGCTGGTAAGGACTATAGAAAGAACTGGGCATGGTGGTGCATGCCTTTAACCCCAGTGCTGGGGAGGCTGACGAAGGTGGATGTCTGTGAGTTCCAGGTCAGCTGGGACTGCAAAGAGACCTTGTCTCAAAACAACCAAAAAAAAAAAAAAAAAAAAGGAAAAAAAGAGAGAGAGATGGTTCACTATGTTAAGAACAGTGTTCTTGCAAAAGACCAGGGTTCTAATCCCAGCACCCAAATGGTACATGGCAGCTAACAACTGTCTGTAACTCCCGTTTCAGGGGATTTGATGGCCTCGTGTGTCCTCCAAGGGCACTGCATGACACAGGTGTATTTATATACATGCAGGCAATACATGAATACACATTAAAAAAAAAAAGGACTAAATCTGAGACAATTCTTGATGTGGAACAAAGGGACCTGAACATGAGGGGTAGTCACTGGCCTTCCTGCAGCCCTCCAGGACTAAAAGGAAAGATGTGCAAACAAACTCAGAGAAGGGGCTGACACTCATGTGAGATGGGGATGTGAGGGAACCCCTGTGAAAGGCACAGGGAAGGCTAATCGGGCGATGGGGGGACTTCAGTCAAGGGCAGAGGATCTACAGAGCTCCCGGGAGCACTAATAAAAGTTCTAAAAGGAAGCGGGAGGGGACTGCTCCAGTAGTGTGAGAGAACCCTCACCACTGAAAAGCTTGGCAAAATAGAAGCCTGGGTGGGGGAAGCATTCTGAGGGAGGGCCTGGGACTGGGAGAACACGGGTGAACAGGGGAAAGCTTCAAATTGAAAAAGGGTGTGGGGGGATGGGAGTCCTGGAAGTTCCACTGAGCAGCAGAATCTAAAGCTTGAGGCTATGTGCCACAGAGGACACTCAGTAGGGAAGAAACTCCTTACCAGCAAAGGCTGGCCTGATAGAGATGGGGACGCCTCAGGAGGCCCACAACATCCTTAAGAAAGCACTAAGGGAAAGGTGGGAAGCACAGTGGAAGGCGAAGGGCCGCCTGGGCATCCCCAACAAGGATGGCTGGGCCTATCGGAGAACCCCTAGTCTTACAGAAACTTTAAAGGGCACGACCAGGAAATCGGAGCTGGAGATAAAAAAGGCCCCCGAGGCCCACTGGGTGGACTAAGGGGTCACGGCTGGGGAGACCCATGGGAACGCAGGGACTCCTGCAGGAGTCTCGTGGCGGAGGGCAGCGAGACGGAAGCGAGGCCCAGGAGCACCTGGCCGTCCCGCAGGAACGAAGAGAAAGCGTCCACGACGCCGGGTGGAGGGAGAGGCCGGCCCGAACCCAAGCAACCAGCCTGGGAGCATCCGCCCCGGCCGCGCCTGCGCACCACACTCCGAGGCGCAGGCTTCCCTGGTTGCTCCGGGCAACGCGACGGGCTGCGTAACAACAACTCAATGGCGCAGCCCGGAGCCTAGGGGCACCCGGGTCTGCAACATTGCGAGGGACAGCTGGGGGTGGGGGAGGGGGTGTGCGCAGTCGCAGTAGTGCACTCCACCCCGGCGCGCATGCGCACTAGGGCCACGGCGGCCACACCCTTGCGGACGCCCGGCGCTGCGTCGGTTGGTCGCACCGAGCAGGCCTCGGGCCCGCGGGGCACAGGCTGCGAAGCTGACGCCGGGCCCGCCCTCCTGCCCGCCGCTCCCCATACTCACCAGGACCTCTCGCTCCTGGGACTCGTCACCGGCGACCCAAGGCGGATGCAGGACGACCGCGACGGCGCTCGGCCACCGGCTGGCTCTGGTTGGGGACTGGAAACGTCCTGACCCAGGCGTGATGACGTCATGCGGAAGCCTGCCCCCTCCCCTTTTGCGGCCAGCCAATGGATGCCACCCCTTGGTTAGGTGCACCCTCTCCCTCCCACTCCCGTCCACGCCCCCGGGAAAGCGGGGACGCGCTCATCAAGCCGGAAGTCGGGTGGAGACGGTGGCCCCCTGGGGACAAGCTTAGGCGACTCGCCCAGTTCGCGGGCCTGTGCCGCTACCTAGTTTTTATTCGGTGCATGGTAGCCATTATCCCCAGAGTGTACATTAGAAAAATGGAGTTGTGAGGCTGTGACTTGGCAGACGGTGGAGGGAAGAGCCCCCAAAACAAAGAGATAAGACTAAGCCTCCACCCCCAAGGAGAGCTTGTTAAGTGAATAAACTTGGAAGGGCGCACCGGGCGTCGGGAACGGCCAGTGCTAACCTAAGGAGGCCGGAAACGCGCCTGGCTCGGGAGAGCGCTGTGATGGTGGAACAGTGGCGTTGGGGGGGGGGGGGGGGGGGGGGCTGCTGGGTGGAGGTATCTAGGGATGGGCAGACTCTGGAAGGCCTTGCATACCTGCATCGGATATCAACAGGCCTTTGCCAACACCAGGACTCAGTACATGGTTCGGTCTTGTACGGGGACTTTGTATCACTTGTTAACAAGGTAAAATTTTCCATCTCTTTTTGTTGTTTGAACTTTTATTTTGGAATAAACTTAGGTTTACAGAAGAAAATAAAATCGCCAGTACGGAAGTCGGGCATCCTCTGCCCACTTTCCCCTATTGTTATCGCCTCGCATTTACTATGGTTTTATTTCTTAAAAGTAAGAAACTGACATTGTTGCATTGCTCTTAACTAAGCCGCAGAGTTTATTTAGATTTCAGGGCTTTTTCCACTAATATTTTTTGCGTGCCAGGGTGTAAAAGGCATCGTGTTGCCTGTAGCTTCCATTTCGCCTGTCCCAAAGCTGAGTTTCTTAGATTTATGATACCCATTTGCTTAACGAGGCAACTGAGGTTCGAAAGGCCAAATAACTTGCCCAGGACCAGCAGGGTGGTACTGGGACTAGGGCCCAGAGGCATCCAGCTGTGCTAAGGACCATCTGGGATGTGAACCGTCTGTGCTTGCGTTCCTGGCCCTCCCTCCACCGTTTTCCCCCACGGAGCTGCAAGTCCCGAGGGGAGCTCTGCTGTGCAAATAACTTCTTTTTTGTGGACTTCCGGTCTCCTGGTTTAACTGGTGTGAGCGTTGTTGGAGCAGAGGACGCTCCACACACATCTTTAGATGCCTGTGCTTCTTCTGGGACCTGGTTCCAGATCACCAGGATCACCAGTCAAGAGGTATGGTTTTCAGTCTTTCACATTCCAGCAGATTTTTCCGTTTTTTCACATGACTGGGGGGTTCACAGCCTGGGGGTGGGGAGGGCGTCATAATTGAATTCCTCTTCCCTATGTCTCCTGATTAGCACAGGACAGCAGCCAAGTTAATGTCACAATACTAGATCCTGGGGAAAAGTGTAGCACATTGTGTTTCCAAATCATAAGAACTTGAACAGGTCTGCTGTTTATCTTGGTGTTTTTGCTTCCTTAATCTAATTGCATATTTTAATTTAACTTAAAAAAAATTATTTTTGAGATGGTCTCCCTGTAGCCCTGGCCGTCCTGGAACTCACTATATAGAACAGACTGGCCTGGAGCTCACAGAGATCCGCCTACCTCAGCCTTCTGAGTGCTAGGACTAACGTCGTGTGCCATCCCACTCAGCCAAGTGGCTTAATTTTAAATTGAGTTGTCTTTTTGTTAGATAAATGGAAGCTTTTGTAGATTATGTATTAAAGATATTTTTTCTTTGTCATATGTGCTAACAACAACAAAAACCTGTACATTGTTCCCCAGACAATAAATTTGCCTTTCAACTTCATATTATTTTTGACCCCAGATTCACTGAATACCTCATCTTTTCCTGTCTGGATTTCTAATACCATTCTTAAAAGGTTTCCCCCTGCACAGCCCTGGCTATGCAGCACACATATGCTCCTGTTTTCTCTTGGAACACTTCGGTCCCTTTTCTAGCACACACTCAAGTTTTCTGTCCATGTTGCACGGGCATTTTCGGCTGATGGACAGCTAGTTGAGCCTGCATCACTTCTAAACCCAACAGGCCTTTCGGATTTCACACAGACTTGAAGCTAGACTTCAGTCATGTGAATCTACTCATGTTTGAGCTAGCTCTAGGTTTCTTTTCTTCCAGAGATCTGCCTCTTCCTGGGTCAGGATACATGTGTAACTTTTAGAACCAGAGCAGTGCTAAGCCTGAACCATAGGAGAATTGGCTGTCAGCCCCTAGGTCTCCCTAACCAGCCAGGACTTCCTCTCCCAGGAGAAGAGCAATAAGAAGGGCCTAAGCCACCTGTAAAATGAAGTCTTCCCTTTTACTTCAAATCAGCCCACTTGAAAGTTAGTGCCACTAGTTGAGATCACTGGGGCATGTGGCCGGAGCAGAGACATCCACATCCCCACCCCAGCTCAGTCCTTTCAAAGACAGGACTGTCAGCAAGGGGTGAGGGGCAGCTTCTGTAGGTCTGCCCCCAGCTCAGCTAGTGCTGGTCCCTGTTCTGACACTCAGCAGTCCCCAGTGCTAATGACAGATGGCGGTGGGGAGTGTTGGGGCCAGAGCAGGAAGCTGTCCTATGTAAGGTGTTCGTGGCCAGCAGTGTTAGTGGTCACAGCCCAGTCAGGTCTGCTTAGTGGGGCCTCCTCCAGCAGCCAGGAAAGGAGCTGCAGAGAGGGAGAGATGAGGAGCTGACAGAGGCAGGAGACACCTGCCCCCATGGACACCCACCCAGCATGAGAGGGTCTCATGCTGCAGGGGAGGGTTAAGGTGGGCTGCACACTAAGGTGGTGTTGAAGCTTACCAAAGAGGAGAGGCAAGCTCCAGGCTGGTGGAGAGGAGGGCCTCAGATGGAAGACTGCCACTGCACAAAGCGCTTGGATTCCTGCCAGGGTGACAAGGGAAGAAAGGACATAAAGTGAGAGTCTGGTTGTACTGTGGGCCCCTCCCGCCTCCCCCAGACCAAAGGCCCAGCCCTCCTTCTTCCGTTCCAGGGGTCCAGGCCTCAGCCTTCCTTCCTCAGACCCAGAACCCTGGGTCCCAGCCTCCTCCCCTAGACCCAAGAGTCCAGATTCCAGCCCTCCTTCCTAATAACCAAGGGTTGAGGTTCTAGCCCTCCTCCCTCAGACCCAGGGGTCCAGACCCCAGGCCTCCTCCCTCAGACCCAGAGGTCCAGGCTCCAGCCCTCCTCCCTCAGACCCAGGGGTCCAGGCCCCAGCCCTCCTCCCTCAGACCCAGGGATCCGGACCTCAGACCCAGGGGTCCAGACCCCAGCCCTCCTCCCTCAGACCCAGAGGTCCAGGCCCCAGCCCTCCTCCCTCAGACCCAGGGATCCGGACCCCAGCCCTCCCTCAGACCCAGGGGTCCAGGCCCCAGCCTCCTCTCTCAGACCCAGGGATCCGGACCCCAGCCCTCCTCCCTCAGACCCAGGGGTCCAGACCCCAGCCCTCCTCCCTCAGACCCAGAGGTCCAGGCCCCAGCCCTCCTCCCTCAGACCCAGGAGTCCCGAACCCAGCCCTCTTCCCTCAGACCCAGGAGTTCAGACCCCAGCCCTCCTCCCTCAGACCCAGGAGTCCAGACCCCAGCCTTTTTCCTCATTCAGGGTCTGTACCTGAGGGTTGAAAGGGTCATCATCATCTGTGTCCTCGTAGTCATCACTGAGGTGTAATGTGGGGAATGGCAGAAAAGCAGGAAGGGGACCCATCAGGAGGCCACCCCCTCCCCACCAGTGGCCCTGGCTGCTGTCTCCTGTCCCCTCCCTGGGGACCCTCTTTCCCCTGCTGACCTGGGAGGGAAGAGGGCCCAGGCACGGGGCAAGCTGCAGAGGCTGGTGGCCAGGGCCCCTGCAGACAGGAGTGAGAAGAGCATCAGGAAGAGCAGGCCTTCCAGGGCATCTTCACACAGTCCTCGCAGTGCCACGCCATAGTCCTAGGGCAGAGGGTGAGTGTCAGAGCAGGCACTTTGTACACAGATTCAGTCATCCATCTGCCTGGCTGCGTGGCACTGTAAAGTTATCCAGCCTCTGTGCCTAAGGGTCCCCTCCTATCGGGGGCCGTTCTGAATGTGGAAGGTCAACCATCCGTGTGTCCAGTCTGTGCCTCTGCTGAGCTGCAGCCCTGCTTATTGCCCCCATTTTATTGTAGCACCCTCCCAACCCACCCCTGCAGAGTGGCCCAGCGTCTCTCAGTGACCAGAGAACTGCTCTCTGCTACTGTCCTCGGTGAGCGAGCCTTCGCAGTGCTGTCTCCCACCTACACCAGTCCTGCCCGGGCTTGCTCAATCCCGGGGCTATCGACGGACACATGGGAAGGTCCTCGGTGCTGTGCTGTGAAGGATGAGGTGCAACATCCCTGGCCTTCGCCCACGAGGACTCCAGAAGCCCTGTTGCTTGCAGTTGTGATGCCAGTGTCTCCATACATTGCCCAAGGTCCCTGGGTCCCAAAGTCACTGGCTTACATAGCACTTAGAACTGCACCTCCCACAGGACAGACATGCAGGAAAGGCTCGTGGCTCCTAGCCGCCTAGAGATCAGCAGAACTGCTGTGACCTCAGTGCCCAGCAGCAGAGCCAAGGGGCCAGTTCAGTCTGCAGCGGTGGACTGAGAGCCCTGTCTGCGCCAGGCATGACCCTGGCACTGGGGACCCTCGGTAGACAAGAGCCAAGGAGTCGTTTCAGAGGATGGTGAGCTGGAGGGGCGGGAAGATGAACAGCACTAGGCAGAGGCCATGTGAGAAGGGCACAAGTAGCCAGCAGATGGCCAGGTCTTGGCAGAGGCAGGCGGCTGAGCTGATGTGCAGGACAAGGGTGGAAGGAAAGGCCAAGGCCAGGGCCACCGAGATGTGGCCGGGGCTACCTAAGAAGGCCCTTCTAGGTCAGGGCCAGGAGCCCAGGCTTTAATCCGTGGTCAGCAGGATTCACTGGAGGGTTTTAAGAGGAAGACTCTGATCCAATTGTGTGTTGAAAGGATCACCAGCTATCGTTGGACAGATGGGGTGGGCAAGAGGGGACAGGAAAGAGGCTGCTATAGTCAAGGGCAGGAGGGGCAGAGGGCCATGGCCTGTAGTAGGGAAGGCTGTGTGAGCACCCCAGATGGGTTTGAGAGGAGGGTGAGGACAGGGAGCAAGGACACTCCCGACTTGGGTGAAGTGGGAGTTGCCAACGAAGGGGGCAAAGGCCTGTGAGGACAGCAGCCATGTACGTTTGAAGGGCATCAGGTACACATACTATGTCCTGGAATCCTTACAACAGACCCTCATGTGGCTGCCTCTGGCAGTGGTAGAAAGAAGTTGAAGCCCAGAGTGGGAAATCCACTTGTCCAGAGTCACACAGCAGAGGAGACAGGGCTGAGTCTCTTTAAGTACCGGAGGCCACCCCCACTCTTCTGTACCCTTATCCCATGATTCTATTTTATTTATGTGTGTGTGTGTGTGTGTGTGTGTGTGTGTGTGTGTGTGCTGTGAATGTGTATGGGGGGAATTGTATGCAGGCACACATGTATGTGGGGGTGCATGTGACTGTGCAAGTGTGTGTGGAGGTCAGAGGGTCAGAGTGAGTGCTAATCCACAGGAGACAACTTTCTGTGTTTTGTTGTGTTTTGTTTGGACAAGGGCTCACTGAGACCTGGGGGCTCACCAACTGGGTAAGCTTGCTGGTCCCCAAGTCCCGGGGATCCACTGTCTCTGCTTCCTTAGTCCTAGGATTATAAGCCCACTCCATGATGCCCATCTTTTAAGTTAATTACTGGGACTCAGACTTGGATGCTCATGTTTGTGTGGCAAGGACTTTGCCTACTGGCCTATCTCTCTGGTCCTGTCTCTGTCCCTAATTTTAACACACGGGAAAACTGAGGCCCGGATAAAAAACCAAGCCCAGGGTCATGTGGTTTATCAGTAGTGGGCAGAGACTCTGACCCCTCATCTTTCCGTTCACAGTCATCTTGGGACAAGGACTGGAGCCCCTAGCATGCCCTCAAATAAAAAATCCAAGGGCCTCCTTTGCAGCCGTCCTCAGCTGTCCACCCGTGACTCTTAGCCCCTTGTTGGTACTGTGTTACACATGGATCCCTCTGGGGAAGCATTGCCAGATTAAACACAGGATGCCCAGTTAATTTCAAATGGGCATCCAGCAAATAGTGGTTTGGGGCAAGGACCTCCCAGGAGTTGCTTGGGAAGAATCCATTTGCTGAGTCTGCATCCTAATTCTAAGGCAGACTAGATGCCCAGGAGGTGGCAGATCAGAGCTGCAGAGGGGCCTTGGGGTGGATGGATGAAGATGTTTCTGAAGGAAATGGACAGACAGGTAGTGCTTAGCAATGCAGACCAAGGGCATCTTGATGACCTCCCACAAGGTCCTTGTCTCCTGGGCTGTGTGGTCCTGGGCAAGTCATTCAACGTTCTCTGGGTTTGCAAAATGGGGTGATAATAGTCCCTGCTGGGACTGTGGCACAAGCTTGCCCTCCTAGCTACTCAGGAGGCTGAGGCAAGAGGATCAAGAGTTCAGGGCCTGCTTGAGTAATTTAGTGAAACTCTGCCTCAAAGTGAAAAATCGAAAAAATAAAAGGCTGGGGGCTGGGGATGTCATTCAGTTGGTAGAGTGATTATCTAGCATGCATGAAACCTTGGGTTCAATTTTATAAACTGGAATGATGGCACATGCTTGTAATCAGCACTCAGGAGGGGGTGGGGATAGAAAAATGAGAATTTTAGGTGCTCCTATTGAGTAGTGAGTTTGAAGCAAGCCTAGGTTCTGTCTACAGAGAGTGGGGGGCTGGGGGATACAGAATGCTTGCCTAGCAGGCTAGAGGCTCTAGGTTCAATCCCCAGTACTGGGGAGGGTCAGTCTTCCTGGTGTCCTTATTGGGGGGGGGAGGTCTGTGAGACAGCACCTGTGAATCCCATAGATCCAGGTGCAGGGTAAAGCCTGTGTGCATGGATGATGGCACTGTGGGACACTGTGGCCAGGGAACACAGGGCTGTATTTAGAATAAGCCCCAATGTTCTAAGGGTGAGTTTCTTTACAATATTTAACAACTGTTCCCTGAAGAGGTGTCCTTCCTCACCGTTAAGGTGGAGAAACTGAGACTCTGCCACTGAGGCCCCAGAGCCCACAGCTGAGCTCTTAGCAGGGCTGGAACAGCACCCCTCCCCCCACACACCAAGGGATACCTGGACTACCACTCATCCCACAGAGCTGGGGGGTCTGCCCAGGGCTGGAACCTAGGCTCTCACTCTAGGGCTTAAGAGCCTGTCAGCCTTCAGAAGGAAGGGAGAGGGCAGAAGATGAGGTGGGATGTATAGGGCAGGGGAAGAACAAAGGATAAAGATCAGTGATGGGGGGGATGGTAGGCAATGGTACATAGAGAGCAGCAGTGTGATAGATACATAACCGATGTGAATACATGCAGCATGAGATGTGTGAGGACCAAGGAGGACCCTGTGTTGGGCGAAGCCTCCTCTAGGGAGCAGGATTGGGGGTGGGAGAGGATGCACCTTGTGCAGGCTGCGGCAGTGCAGCAGCGCCACCAACTGGTGGAAGTTTCCCTCGGTCACGTTCAGCATCTCTTCCAAGGATAACAGCAGCTTCTGTGGTGGGAAGGGACATAGTTACCCTGTCTACTCCTCAGGCTCAGCCATCAGCCTGGGCTCCATCAGCCCTGAATGCCCCACCATAGCCTATGGCCCTGACCCTAGACCCGCTCAGCCTTATTGACCCACCCCTTTTCCATAGGCTCCATAAACTCTCACCTGCGCACACACACCCTTCAAGGAGAAGGGCGGGCTCCACAGGTCAGCCCCACCCAGCCAATCTACCCCTTCCTGTGAGTGGGGCCACATCACACAGGTCCACCTGCCTCTCCTTCCCCTGGGGCTGATATAGTCCTCGACCTGACCTGTGCTGTGGAGAACTGAGGGACAGCTTCCCGCTCCAGGCCTTGTAGCTGGGAGTGGATGTTGGCCAGAGCTCTCTGGGACAGAGTCAGCCTCTGTGGAAGACAAGAGGGAGGAGGACTCAGGTCAAGGTGTCCACATGCCATCTGTCCTTGACTTAGGCACCCTCACCTCCGGCAGAACCCAGGAGCCTCTGGTCCAGCCCTGCCTCCTCCCTTGAGGCTCTAACTCCACCATCTCCTCAATGTCCATTTCCCTCGCCCACATTCCTAACCTGTTGGAAGGGGTTGGAAACTGCCTGGTTGCACAGGAAGTAATAGTTGAGGATGTCTGAAGTGGAGGGAGAGAAAAAAGCAAGCTCTGAGCCCAGGCCCCTGCCCTCCCTGGGGAAAGCAGGAGGGCCGGAGCCTAGGGCACACTTCCCAGTAAGGATTCTTGGGGTCCCAAAGCCTGGTGGCTGCCTTCTCACCATTTACTTCCTTCCTCCCTCCCTCCCTCCCTCCCTTCCTTCTTTCTTCCTCCTCAACTTCCTCCCCTCCCTCCTCCCCTCTCCCTCCCTCTCTTCTTCACTTCTTCCTCCAAGGCATCTTCTCCTTGTTTGTTGTTCAATCGTTTTGTGTTTCATTTTCTTTTTTTAAGACAGGGTCACATGTTGCCCAGACTGGCCTTAACTTGCCCTGTAGCTGAGGATGACCCTGAACTCTGATCTTTCTGCTGTGCTGGTATTTGAGACACCCACCATGCCAGATTTTAGGCAGTTCTGGGGATCATCCCAGGGTATTGTGCTGCAAGGCAATCACTCTACCAACTGAGCTATATCCCCAGTCTATTTCTTCTTGTTTTGATTTGTCTATTATCTGTTGTCTGTCTGTCTGTCTGTCTACCTACATACTTCGATAAGGTGTGTGATAAGGTCTGCGTAGCCCAGGCTGCCCTTGAACTCAGCATCCTCCTGCCTCCCGAGTGCTGGGATTACGGGTGGGCATCATCACTCAGGGTTCCCTCATCCCTTCTGCCCCACCCACAGCTGGAAACAGACTAAGCTATGATTCCTTTCTTCCCCTACAGTCAGATCCTTCCACCACTGAGGCCCAGCCCCAGCCCCTCTCTCATGTCCAGTCCACATGTACTGTGATCCTGTCCTCATTCCTTTCCGGCCAGGTACTGAGAGCTGCAGAGGGCTCTTAGACGACTCTGCACTCCATCCCACAGGCCACTGTGGGGAGGGCAGGGCTGAGGACAGCAAAGATTTATGGGAATCACCTGAGCTGAGCCCAGTCTCCTCCTGGGTCAGGTTCAGCACATAAGTGTCCGGGTTGGAGCAGAAATCACTAAGGCCCTGATGGAGAAAGCAGGAGGTGCTGAGATTAGAAACTTCTAATTCCTTGTATCCATAGAAATCAGAGGCCCATGCCCTAGCCCTCCCCCCTCAGACCCAGAGTCCAGGACCCAGCCCTCCTCCCTCAGACCCAGGAGTCCAGGACCCAGTCCTCCTCCCTCAGACCCAGGAGTCCAGACCCCAGCCCTCCTCCTTCAGACCTAGGAGTCCAGGACCCAGCCCTCTTCCCTCAGACCCAGGAGTTCAGACTCCAGCCCGCCTCTCTCAGACCTCTAGCCCTCTTCTGTCAGACCCTGGGGTCCAGGCTCTGTCCTTGCCCTCCTAGGATCCAGCAAACCAGGCCAGAACTTTGGAACTGTGATCATGCCTCCTAAGTCCTTCCTCAGGACTTCAGGCAATGATTAGGTAACACTCACCCCAGGATCAGGGCCCCCTGAATCTAGGGCCCACACTCACCACAGCTGTGGCAGCCTCTAGGCCCATGGAGCCCCAGCTTAGGACAAGCACCAGGAAACTCATGGCAGTCATCCTAGAGTGGGGCAGAGGGATGGACTCAGGACTCTTAATCACACTGACTTGCTTCTTTCTATACCCCAAATCCCACCACAGCCCTCCCCTGTCCCCACCAACCTCTGTAGCCTAGAGGATTAGAGTCAGGGGCACAGGACTAAAAGATGGAGAAAGCCCATGACTGACTTCAAATGGAATATCAGTCCATTTGGAAAAGGAGAGGGAGAGGTCTTGGCTGGCAGGTCAGCAACCAGCAGCATCCCGGCTATTCCTGGACGCTGAGAGGCCACTGTCCATCTCTGGACTGAATTTCCTGGGATTTGCTTGCCCAGGTCTAGTTCACCCTGACCTGGCTCCCGATTGACCCACATTGCTGGTTCAGCTGTTTACTCTCTGTGGTCTCCACCTCCAAGGTTGAATTGTGCAGCCTGGGCTGAAATCTGAAATTCAAGGCCTGGAATTTTCCCAGGGTTGTGAGGGGTAGAGCGAATCAGGATCATGGGTCGGTGGGGGAGGCAACTGCGTAAAATGAAAGGCTTGGCCCTGCAGTCCCACACTTGCTTGGTCTGGCATGTTGTTTTAATCAATGTCTAAGTCTCCATGGGGCCTGAATGCAGTGGCTAGAAATCGCCCCAGGGGGAGCGGGCAGATAGTGCACGTAAGACCAAGCAAGGAAGGAAGGCCTCGTTTCATGACCCAGAGGCTAGATTTGAGCCCCAGTGCCAGGACTTCCTGGCTTGGCGGCATGAACCTGAACAAGTGGCCAAGCGCCTCTGAAGTTCCCTCTCCTTCCACTATGACAGGACAGTGCCTACCTCCCTCGGAGGCTCAGTGAGGATTCCATCAAGTACCCAAAGGGGTGCCTGGCAGTCAGTTGTTCAATAAGAGTGTGGATCCTGTGGGTCCCCACATGACCTCAGGTCCCTCTCCCACTATGCAGGAGCCTAGTGGTACTTCCTTTATGGATTTGTTGTGGTGACTGAGGGAGCCAGCATACATAACTCTCACCTTCATTACAAGCACGATCCATGTATTTCCCATGACTTCTGCATGCTTCGTGCTATGAAACCTGCCTGTTTCCAGCCAGTTACTCTTCCACCCCCCCCACCCAC